TGATGTTTCAGTTCACAAATGTGTAAAAAGAGGAAAAGATTCATTCTGTTCACTTTTGAAGGTGACACAATAATCACATTATTTTAAAACACCTTACAATAAGCTTCATGGAGGATTAAATGGAACACACTTGCCACGTGTCATTATGTCTCTGCTGATAGTGATAGTTTTGTCTTTTTAATAATATTCAGCATCGGTCTGCACATAAAAATGTGCTGAAAGTCTTTTTTTTAAAGCCATTAAAAAAAAGTGTTTTCTTCAGTTCTTAAGTAGTTTCTTCATTATCTGTTTGTTGCTGTGTGTTTGCCAAAAACGGTAAGGTGAGATAGCGTTGTTTCTTTTATAATGCTGACAAAATATATTCTACACTTCCAAGCGATTTTGTCAGATTCATCAATTTCAATGTGATCTAATGCCAAACAAAATGCAAACTGTCAAACGTAGAGAGTTCAGCATCAGTAAATATGTAGCAAGAGGGAACCATTTGATAGATCATGTTTTTATATGCTGAATTTGCTTTTATTATTGTAATTAGATTTTATTATAGTAATAGCAGACAGAACCAACTTGACGTGCATCAGGATTGAAGTTAAGTTTAGCTATCCTCTGTTTTTGTCACCAGGAGAGGCATCTGCCCTGCGAGACTATGCAGCCAACACCATGAATGAGTTTTTGGGAATGTTCGGTTATGATGACCAGCAGGTAAGGGATGAGCTGACCAAGAAGATCAGCTTTGAGAAGCTCAAAGCTGCTACCTCAGACCCCTCATCCCTCAGCAGTGAGGAGGCCTCACGGCGTGCTCGCTTCTCTAAGTATGAAGAGTACATACGCAAGCTAAAAGCAGGCGAGACCTTGCCTTGGCCTGTGCATGCTTCCCCACCTAAACCAGACGACCTCAACTCAAAAATGGCCCAAGACAAGAGTGCTACCATGCTCCAGACCTCGGGGTGCCTCCCAGGGGCAGAGGCACAGATCTACCCCTCCAGCCTGGATCACAAACAGCCAGGAGGACTCCAACTGGGCACATCTCAGCCAGCCAACTCCTCTCACATGCAGAACATGACGCCCCGAGCCTCCAAGTATGACTTCTTTATTCAGAAGCTGAAGATGGGTGAGAGTCTGCAGCAGCAGAATGGTAATGCTTACAAGCGACCCTCCAAGTACGACCTGGAGAACGTCAAGTTCCTGCACCTCTTCAAGCCCGGTGAGGGCAATCCTGACATGGGCGGTGCCATCGCCTTTAAAACGGGAAAAGTGGGCCGCCCCTCGAAGTATGACATCAGAACAATTCAGAAACTGATGCCAGGAAATCCTGAGGCCTCCCTGATGCCCAATATCCTCGCTACAGCACCAGGAAACCCAGGAGCTCCTGGTGTTCCCACTGTAGGTGCAGCCGGGGCCAGCATCACTCCAGGGCTCACAATGGACCAGACCGGACACATAAGCTTCAACGCCACCGACTACCTGAAGTCCAGCTTTTCCAAGACTGACTCCATCACCACGGGCACTGTGTCCTCTGTTAAGTAAGTCTGACCAAAAGTAAGTCTGATGTCATATGAAACTAGAAAAGCACAGACAATGCTTTTATTTTGTTGGAATACATCTGCATCAAAAATGCAAATAGAAAATATTGTGCACTTGTGTAAACCTTTGAGCATGTATTTTGAGCGAGTATTTTAGACATTGTCACTGATACTACTACATCACAGGACTCAAATTTGTCAAATATGGTGCAGATTGCATTTAATTTGTAGATGGACAGGTCAAAAAAGTGTTTTGTACAAACAAATTAAAAATGTCAGGAATTCTCAAAGCACAAAAATGGGTGTGGTCTATGGACAGATATGTTTGAGCAGGGAATTGAGGGAAAACATTAACCATATATTTATACTTTGTATGAACATGATATGCATCCCTTTTAATGCATCCCATTTACCTATTCACAAAAATATTAAAATCTGATAATAAATCATTTAACCTGCCATTAAAATTCTAATTTAAAGTTTAATGGTGGATTGAAAAGATTTCAAGCTCAGAGGTCTGTCTTCCTCACACCAATAGTCTCTCAGTGGAACACCTTGGAGCTAATGTGAAGCTCACATACACTTAACTGCTACTGTGAGTCAGTTAGCCCAACGCAAAGGTAATTGCTATCTTTACAGCAGCCAACAGGAACGTTGTGTGAAATAGCGCATAGCGCCCAATAGATCCACGACATGATGAGTTGCGAAGGCACATGAAGTGTTTACTCGCTGTAGCACTCCATGGAGACTGATTTAGCACAGTCATCGCAAAGTGACTGACTTCTTTCGTTTGGCTAGGGTGTAACAACTCTCCCTTTAATTACTTTGGAGCCATGACTAACCTCCCGGCGAGTCACAGGGGCCGACTCAACACTGCCTGACGAGTGCACTTTAAAGGAGGCAAACGAGGGGTTTGGGGAACTAGCCTACAGTTGTGTGCACTACCAGTAGGAAACAGCTCCCAGAGTCTGTTTGATTGGTTTTGACCTTGTCTCTAGTTAGTCGAGACCTATCAAAGACACTGTTCAAGAGCCCTCCGGCACCTCTCCCTTAGGCTTTGGCCTTTGTCAGGTTGGGGCTCAATGGAGCTGCAAGCCTGGCTAACTAAACCAGTCTGGTGCTTGTATACGGGGAGAGATGGGGGGGCTAGGGAGAGTGTCTGGCAGCATATCCTCCCCTCTGGGCCAGATTAACCTCAGGTCATCCCTCGTGTGGAGCTGCTCACATGGAGCTAAATGCCATCCCTGAGAGGGAGCAAGCAAAACCAATAACTGTATTATGACATATACAGACAGTACCGCTACAGACTTCATGAAGGCAGTCCCATTACAGGTGACAAAAAGCACACAACAATTCCCGGCATGTCTCTCTAATACAAATTTGATCGAGTTGAAACTGGTACTGAGTCAATTAGATGGATCCATATGCATTCAGGCTTTAGTGTTGTCTTACATCTTTAGTCCAGACTGATTGGAGACAACTTGACATCAGCACTAGAGGCAAGGTCCATAGAGAATATCAGAAAAGACCTTTTCAGAGCATTTCTTCCACATCCCCATTATCCAGTTTTGCATACAAGCACTCACCAAAATACCCCCATAAAAGATTAATGTCCCTTTGCTCCTGCATTTTGCCTTTCATTGGTTGGGAGACCATGCATCAAAGTGTGCACCTTAAATCCCTGATTCATACAGCACATGAAAACGCTGTTATGACACAAGAAAATGTATATTGATAGTCCGAAGTTTGGGAGCGGCCTGTAAGTAAATAGTGTGTCAGTTTGTTTTTATTAACAACAGGCAGCCCAACCTCACCATTAATCCTGTCTCTTTTGTGTTTTCTGTTGCATTAGGAATGGCCTGCCACCAGATAAACCCGCCAGCGAAGACATCAACCTCTACCAGAAATATATTGCTAGGTATGCAAATCCCTCAATGTGCTTCACCAATGAAAAAACATACCAAACAGAGATGGGCCTTTTTTTATGTACTGATGGTGTGTTTTATTAAGTGATGTAACTCGATCTTAGGCTGGTATGAAAATGTTCGGTGCGCACTAAATTAATTAAGAAAAGACTCCAATTTATGTGCTGAGAGGAAGTAGAAGGATAAGAGGTAATGAAAGAGAAATGGTTTGACGGCAGCGTACAGTGTCTGGTTGAATAAATGCTCACAGTGTGTATAGCACTAAAACACGAGGAGAACATAAATCTGTACTTTTAGCTATGACTGACACAGAGAGGATATGAGCTCAGGTCAGGTTCCTCTTTAGTTCTGCCATTTATTGTTGAAACACGTGAGGGACTGACTGATCTAAAAAGTCCGTCTTCCACACCATCAGAGACCTAAGCCTCAGGGGGGAGAGGTATCTGTGGTTTCTATGGACACAGAACAATGTCCCTCATTCTGGATTCATTTTGAGCACACACTAGAAAGGTGATTATCACTTGTTTGTTTATTCAGTTTAAAAAGAAAGAAAACAGCATTTGAAAAGCCAAAGTGGCTTTGGCATTAATGATTACTTCTCCAAGCCATAACATGAAGGGCACAAATCAAAGCCCTGGCACTGACAGACACACATCCTCTTCTCCGCACACACTCACATACACACACAAAACCTCTTCCTTGGACTGATTACATTTTGCAAGAAGATTTAATTAAGGAATTTTTAATGAGGCTTCTGCTGGCACTGCCAAGAACTGTTTTGATATTTGCGCTGCATAATGCATAAAATTTGTCTAAACATCTCGGCAGTTGATGCACGGGGAGGCTGCAGATAAGCCCAGATACAGTTTCAATTTCCGTGTTGGGGTTGGGAAAAAAAGAGAAAGGAAAGAAGAGGAGGGAGGAAAAAAAAAATGGAAAAGGAGGGCTCATAAAAAGGGCAAATGTAGCGCAGAGAGGGGAGCTAGAAGCGGGGGATGGTCCTCCTCGGAGCTGGGGCTAATGAGTGCACGCTAATACTAAAAACCAGCTTTGTGAACATGTTCGCACCTAGTCCTTGTGAAAAGAGAGAAAAAAGTTCTTCATCTCCTCACCACACTACAGTTTAATGTTTTAAAGAGCTTCCCTGGTAGTGTTTAGTTGCAGTTTTCACTCTTTAAATGCTTTCATGCACCCACTATTGCCTCGGCACTTTGATCTGTGTATCTCTATTGTAACTGGAGATGCGCTGCAATCTCTGTATCGTGGCGATATTAATATTTAATCTGCTGCTGAATAGCAGCGGCCCATTAGGCCCCCTGACGCGGCAAGTGGGAATTGTCCAGAGGCAAAGTGATACAGCTGGGCAATGAGCAGAGGGGTGGGCCACAGTCTCAGGAGGATGGGGGGACTTTGTGTGTTCATAAGTGTAAATGTGTGTGTCTGCATGTATAGAGAGGCGTATAGAAAAAACTACGTGTGAGCATATGTTGGTTTTATGGTTTGAGTACACGTGCGTCTTGGTTTGACTGGTTTGGTCCTTTTCTAAAAGATACATCAAACCTTTTCATAGCCCCTTCTGCTTCTATCACTTTCCACACACACACATGCACACAGCCAACTTAAAAAGTGTAGTGGATATACCGTTCAATTAGCTTAATGAACTCAGCAAAGTGATCTGTAAATGCAGCTCTGGGATAATCCTAACAAGGAAAAACAGAAAGAGAGATGGAAAAAATATTACTTAGCCTCCTTTCCCCCCTCTCCTCCTTCTCCACTCGCAGATGGAGCTCTTGGCAACAGCAGTTCGAATGTTTATTTGTGTGTTTTCACTGGTAATTGAAGGATTTTAACAGTCATCATCATCAGAGTTATTATCACAACCGTAAAAGTGGTTGTACTGTAGCAGGCAGCAGCTTTCTTTTTAAACTAGTGCCAGAATAAAATCAGATTTTTAGATTCCAGGTGAGAGGCTGGCAAAGGTTTCGGATGAAAAGTAGACAGAGGTGTTCCAACATCTCAGGATACCTGACTCTCTTCCTCTTAGAGTGAAACTGTGGTTAACCTGAAATAACTGTGCATTGATTTGACAAGGGTTTTCTCAGCTTTGAGAAATAAAGTAGTTATGGGGCGTGTGAATGTGTGTCAAGGGAAAAGGTTTCAGTGTAATAAGTGTCTCTTACGGCTGCTTTGGAAATAAATGGAGCTAATTTGGCTGAAATTGGTGTGACAGACGGGTAAATTGTTGCAGCAGTGTGGAAAGCAGGAGTCACTTTGAAGGTGCGAGCTGTGCGACTTTGAAGGTGAGACGAGCAAAATGTCTTTGAAAACTCCTTGGTTTTTTGTGTGCTGATTTTGGAATTTCAAATAATTTCTTCACTAATCATTCTTCATTTTCTGTCAATTATGTTTGAATCACACTGATATCTTTCTGCGCCGCTTTATCGTTCAGCCTTTTTCATCCCCGTGACTCTGCTCACTGTGCGATAAGCTCTCATGCGTTACCAGGTTTTGAAGCAGTCTTGATGTTGCTTTCTGTTTGGCCGTTAAAATGTATGTAACTGTTGAAATGTGTCCTGTACCTTGGATTTCAGGTTCTCTGGAAGTCAACACTGCGGACACGTGCACTGTGCCTACCAGTACAGGGAGCATTACCACTGTATGGACCCTGAGTGTAACTACCAGGTGAGCGTGAGTAATTTATCACTTTTTTGAGCATCACCTCAACACACTTTTAACTTTTGCTCCTTTATGCTGCGAAAATCGGACAAATGTAGTTTTGTTTTGCGTGCCTATCTCAATAAAGGTTGAAACCAGGTAGTGTATTGCATGATTTATTCATATTGAGGTTAGGCTGGGTGACTTAAAGCAAAACATCCTCTCCTTTTCAGGACACGACTAAAGGGATGTGGTGAACCTGGGATAGACAAACAGGATAATGTGTCATCTTTTCATTAGTCGTCACACCCAACCAAAGTTAACGAAGATGAAAAGTTTGTTGGCCTTTGGTCTGCCAAACAGGCTGTGGGTGTTTACACTTGTTCAGTTTGCAGGTGTTTTCCACACAGCACACAGTTGGTCTTTGACAGTTGCCCTTTTATCACAAGGTTTGATTGTAAATACGCTTGAAATATGGCTCTTTTTAATCTGTTCTTTTTTTTTATAAAGACATCTGCCAATGACTGGGGGGCTGCCTTTAATCCCCTTTTCACATTATTAATCTTGTCCTGGTCCCTGGAGTTGTCAAGTATGGCACAGGAAGGAGAAAAAAACCACACAAAGCAGATCATATTACAGGGCCTTGTGTTTGCTGTAGCATATGGCCTGAGAGAGTTAGACAAACACGGGTAGATTTGTCAAAGACATCAAAAATCCATGCGCAGCCAGTGCCGTGTGTTTTCCTTCCTTTATTCTCTAGTTTTTCTGTATTAAGCCATCTTCAACTGTAATCTCCTTTTTCTGCCCCTGATCAAGAGAGATTACCGCTCGATAAATATTGTTTATGTGGTGAAAAGCATTACATATTGAAGCTTTCATTTTCTGCATGAATCCCACTTCACAGTCTGATGAGACAAATTCTTAGAGGAATACAAAGGAAAATCATTTCATGTCATTATTTAAAGCGTTAGTTCAGGTTATCATGGCAATTTCCACGGTCAGCTCCACATTTCTCTGTTGCCTTTGCGTCGCGTGGAAACACAGATATGCTCTGGAAGCCAGCTCTCGGGATGTCAATACCCTGAAAAAAACAGGCAGCCCCTTTCGAAGCGATAACTCATGAAATGTTACATGACACACACTCCTGGAATATTATCCCACTGCCAGCCTCCGGGCGATTGGCTGAGTCTTAACATTCTCCTTTCATGGGCTTGTACATGAGGGAGAGTGTGCATCTTGCCACACTAGTGGGAATCCTAAAATAAATGTAGCAAGTGGCTCCCAACCTTCATCACCACTCAACTGAAAATGAGATCTTTTTCCCAGTCAGCTCTCTCCATGGCCTATTTTGGACAGCTTGATGGATCTAATTTATCATGACCGCAGTTCAACTTATCTTCCAGTCATCATCAAAGCCCAAAGCCCAGAACTGAGATTAGGATGTTTTTATTTTTTTTTATTTAAAACGTGATGAATCTAAAGCATTCATCAATTAGATTAAAAAATCCTAATGAAGTGTTTGCTTCAGCAAGAGTCAAACATCGTGGAAATGCTGTGGGAAACGGGCCAAGAGCAGGGGAACAGCTGTGTGAGATCTTCGCTTTTTACTTGTGCGCGAGTGGAACACATGACACAGAGCAATTACCCTACTTTGTACAGCAATTATTTGCTTTTTAGAATTGTTCTTTCTGATGTTTTTCCCTCAACTGGAGATAAATATGGATTTGAAGAAATGTCTCATTGATTTGCGCTTCTCCCATTACAGTTTCTGTAACATCAGCTTAAGTCCAATTACAGCAGATTTGGTTTCTGCGGGTCTCTGTGGAGTGACGTTTCTGTTTTGTTTTTTTTTCCTTCTCAAATCCCGGGTGTGGGAGGAATTTATTTATTTATTAATTTATTTATGCTGTAATTTTAGAAGGCAGGCCTCTTAGCATATTCACTCATCACCACAGACGGAGCCTGCACCAAAAGCGAGTGTTAATGCTTTAATTAAAAACGGAATCATATCTCTGTGAATTGAAAGGGAAAACGTTTTTTGGTTGGCTTGTTTGTTTGTTTCTGTTGTCTTCCCTTTTCCCTTGTGCACGTCTGAGAAACCATCTGTATGGAACATAATTTTTCCAGAGTCAGAATCATCAGAACTGTGATCTTGCATGCCAATTGATTCATCTTAATTAAAAAATGATTTTGGTGGAAGGCAGTCCACCTGTAAAGATGGGGGGGGGGGGGCGGCTCCTGTTTCAAGTTTCATTTCAGGCGTATCTTTTACTCAGAAAGTCCCAGAGTGTTTTAGTATCGCATTTGGATGGAGCACAACTTGCAGATATGCAAAGTGCATCAATAACCACAGAACACGTCATATTTAAAGACACCCTGGGCCTCTCCATTGCAGTGTGGACAGCCCTCCCCAACTGTCTATTGGCTCCCAAATGCTGCAGCTGCTGCTTCCACGGAGATGAAGTGACTTGTTGCTGATTCTGTGACTGGTTTAAATAAACACCAACCTGTTGCTGTACATTTTTCCCCCCTCCCCTTTTGCAGAGGTTTACCAGTAAGCAGGATGTAATCAGGCACTACAACATGCACAAGAAGAGGGACAACTCTCTGCAGCACGGATTCATGCGCTTCAGCCCTCTGGACGACTGCAGTGTCTACTACCATGGCTGTCACCTCAATGGGAAAAGCACCCATTACCACTGCATGCAGGTACACTACAGAGACGCACACCTCCTCTTCCACTTGCCCACAATAAACCCACAAGCACACACAGTAGACAAAGAAACAGAATGATATGCATCTGCTAATATGGGAGCATTAGGCATTTGATTAAGGATTCCGTACACTACAAACAACCTGTAACTCACAATTCTGATTAAAAATGTTACAGTAAAATTGATAATTTACATTACACAACCATTCAACAAACAGTCAACAGCAAACCAGATCACACACTCCATAAAAGCCTTAAAACAACTTTTCTTTGTTGCAGTGACATTTAGGCATAAAACCAAAGGTAAATAATGAATGGAAGAACAATGTGATATAAATGATGGTCAGATCAGGAAAATTAGGCCACTTGTAAAACACACACACACACGTCACAGTTTACTTGCATCTGTGAAATGGAATCACAGTCACACACTTTTTCCATTTACACCAAAGTGTCTTTAAAGAGCAGTTTGGCAAAACGTGTCTTAAAGTAAATAAAAGAAAATTGAAAAAAAAGGGTGAATACACGTGTAAGGCTGCGTGTGCATCCCCCCCACCTCCTCACTCTCTCACTCCTTAATTGGCATGGATGAAATTCAGTTAGGTGTTTATATAAACTACACATTTTTCATCTTTTAGTACCAAGCGGCCCGTTGAAGATCGTCCCCCCTTCTGGATTTGTTTAATTTTTTTACATCTGCTTATTTTCAACGTGTCATTGTGCAGAGAGCTTTCTCACCAGAAGGGCAGCGGTGCAGCGGAGGATGGCTTGAGATATATTCTTTTTTAAACCCCTCTAACGGCGTAATTGTTATTAGGACGTTTCAGGCCGTGTTTTAACAGTCCCTGAGAACCTGCAGATGTTGGCATCGGCTCTCATGATTTAGTGGGGAAAAAAACAGAGTGGCATTTTTTTCATTGTTTGACTCAATATGGAGAAGTTGCCCGGTTTGTGCGGATGAAAAGTGCCAGGGATGATATACAATTGCTGCTTTTAATTCAAACATTACCTGTTTTTTTCCCTTGGCTGTTGGCTCCGAGTCTCCAGAGTACCAGAACATTTTAAACTAAAGACCAGGACAGTCAACTTACTCCTGTCTGCTCTCCTCTGCCCCCTCCACCTCTAAAATCTGTTCTTAGTGTAGAAAGACTTGTGTGAATGTACTTTCACGCACAAAATATGAATTTCATTTTCTAAATGGCAGCTTTGCCAGGAAAGTACAGTATTTTCAGCTACCTGCTGTGACCACTGACACTTTCAGTCACATTTAGTTTCCAAATGTCACAATGACAAGACTGTTTCCAATTCACTAGAGTTTCACTTGTACTGCTGCTGGTGTGCGTTTCAGTACATTAAATCGTAAATGTGAGAAAACAAACCTTCCAGCCATTTCTAGGCCACTAGCATTTTCTTAACCACACTGAACTCCTTTCTCAGGGACTTTTTACGGTCTATCAGATCTCTTTAAAGCACTGTGTTTCAGAGGTTGCCTTTCTTTCAGAGTGAAACTCTCTGCAGAGAATCTGCAGTGGGCTCAGATCTTTGTTTCCGATTACAATGCTTTGTCTCTACTCGTAGGTGGGCTGCAGCAAGGTGTACACCAGCACCTCAGACGTCATGACCCATGAAAACTTCCATAAAAAGAACGCCCAGCTGATCAACGACGGCTTCCAGAGATTTCGGGCCACCGAGGACTGTGGCACAGTTCAGTGTCAGTTCTACGGGCAGAAGACCACACACTTCCACTGCAGGTGAATGTGATGGATTTTTTTTTGATTTTATATATATAATTATTTTTAGACAAATTTACAGTAATTATTATCATATGTGTGAACAAACACTTGATATCCTAGCAGGTTATATAGAAAAAAGAGAAAAAGAGGAATCAAGCAACATTCCTTATTTAAATGTTATAGTCTCACATCACCATGAACCATGGAATTGCAACTAATGGCCTAGTATTTCTGAACAAGGGGAAAACAAGTCAGTATATAACAATGAATTACAAAGACATTTTCATTAAAGTCCATTGATCTTCAAACGTTTTCACCTTATAAGCATACATCACATTTTCTTATCAATGGATATAGATAATCACTCCCTGGAATGATTCCCTCTGGCAGAGTTTACAGGTAGTGATGTTTCAATGAGCTGCTGCTGTGTCAGTTATCAATTGTCCATTGTACCAAGTATTTAAATAATACGAATCACGTCTCCCAACTGTACCTGGTACTGAGGAGGCTTTGCAACACAGCATTTTGTCTAATCATGTTATCCCTTTATTTTCCGTTCTTTTCTCAGGCGCCCAGGCTGCACCTTTACCTTCAAAAACAAGTGTGACATTGAGAAGCACAAGAGCTATCACATCAAGGATGATGCCTATGCCAAAGACGGCTTCAAGAAGTTCTACAAATACGAGGAATGCAAGTACGAAGGCTGCGTGTACAGCAAAGCCACCAACCACTTCCACTGCATCCGTTCAGGCTGCGGCTTCACCTTTACCTCCACCAGCCAGATGACCTCCCACAAGCGCAAACATGAGCGCCGGCACATCCGCTCCTCTGGCGTCATGGGCCTCTCTTCCACCTTCCTGCCGCCAAAGGACGAGCAAGAGGAATCGAGCAACGATGACCTGATGGATTTCTCCGCCATCAGCAGCAAGAACTCAAGCCTGAGTGCCTCGCCCACAACCCAGCAGTCCACCACTGTACCACACCTGATGGCCACACCCACTACGGTTGTCTCCTCCTCCTCTACAATGGGCCACGCCCTCAAGCTGACATCCTCGCTGTCCAGCGCAGGCCAGCGTATGTCCAGCCTGCTGTCCCAGGCCCTGCCCAGCAACATGCCGGTGGCCCTCGCTCTCTCCAACAGCGCTATGGCCAACAACCCCTTCTTCCCTCTCATGCCCAGGCTGCCTCTCCAGCCCTCTCTGCCTGCCGCTAGTCTGATATCAGCTGCAACCTCTGGGGCCCACTCCATGCCCACCGACTCACTTAGCCAAGGTTGCTCCACATCGGGGGCAGAGGGAGCCATGGCGTCGACCCCGACCTCCTATGCCACCTCCTCCATCATGGAGAAGATCTCGGCGAGCAAAGGTCTGATATCACCCATGATGGCCAGACTGGCAGCTGCTGCCCTGAAGCCCACCATCAACCCAGATACAGGTCAGTTACTGCACAAACAGGCACCATTGTACAACACAATACAATTATATGGGCTCATTAATGCCTCATATCATATCAACATTGATAATCAAATAATGATATAGCTAAAATTCAGTTTCATAATATTGTAAATTGAATATCTTTCAGTTTTGAACTATTAATTGACTAATCAACAGAAATCAGACAGATTAACAGCCATGTTATAACATTCTTTTTCTTCTTATTACTGTAAGTGAACCACTTTAACAGACTGAGTTGTAAAGTTCACTTAGTCAGTATAGTGAGTAACTGCATATATAATAAAAGCCACATCATTTTGTGAGTGTGCGGCCCTCACTCCACTGCAGCCCGAGCAGACAGCGTGCACTCAGAGGTCATTTCTATCACTATCCCACACCAGAGAGAAAGGCAGAAAAAGTGCCGTTTTCAGGCTTACAGGGACATACCGGAGGCATGGTCCTCTGCTCTGGGCTTGTTATTGTGTTGATCGTTTGTTAGATACCCACAATCCATTTGGAGATAAATGCGCTGACAGGGGAGAGTAGAGCCTGTAAAAGTCTCTTATGATGTTCAGAGTGGGGGCTCCTGGGGCTTGTGTCGAACATGTTTCCTCATCATTGGTCTCTTATCTGTGTCTGCGCCCGTTCCAAGCAAATGGAGGTGGAATGAAATTAAGTTCAGAAATTGCGAGAACAAAAAAATGTTTTTTTTTTTCGTATCCTCTATGCAAACTGATAAAAAAACGGAAATCGCTCAGGCAGAAATGACTCAATGCACCAGAGCTGAAAAGAAGTTTTTTTTCCTCACTGATACAAGAACTCAGACACACTCGCATGCATCAGCAAAGACAGACTTTTTGAATTTCTAGAAACCCTCTGTTCCCAGAAAAACATGTCAATATCTGTTTAGCATAAACACAATTCACATCATTTTTGGAGGTAATTGCCTTGTCTCTGTTTATCATAATGCTCTAAACAAAGCGTCTGAAAATGAAGTTAAGGTATTAAATTGATAATGCACCGCAAAGTGCAGTCTTGCATTCGAGCAGCAGCGGGGCCTCCTGTGTTGAGCCTGAGCAGGTGGGGTGCGGATTGTAAATGGGGCTGTAAGGGGGAGCATCTCCGGATGTTGGGACGGGGAAGGATTACAATTCCTGGTGGTGTTCGCGGAGCAGGACAGTTCCTGGGAGAGAGCTAGGGCAGCTGCTCTGGGGAGCCAAGCTGAGCCCAGGCTGTCAGGCTGAGCTCCACCTCTGGGCTTCCAGCAGTTAGTCTGAACACCAGGAAGGCCCCCACTGAGGGTGGGGCCTCCACAGATGGTGCATTCACCACCCCTCTTGTCGGCTCACTGAACGGCTGCAGCTCAGATCTTGCTGTGGGATAGCAAAGCTGTTTTAAAATAAGCGCCCCCATATACCTCATTCACATCTTTTATTGTAAAAGCTCAGAGCAGTTGCAGGATGGACGGGTGGCTGCGGTTTGGTTTCTCATATTTGTTTCATAAAATGTGTGAACAGGACATTTCAGGCTAAAATTAGGAGGAAGTGGTTTGTGCTTCTCTGTTGACAAGATGTGAGAAAAGTCGCAGTGTTTGTGGCCATCTCTCACACCGTGTATATCTTGCAGTTGTGAAACTCTGTTGTAAGCTGTGCGTTTTTTTTTCCTATTTCTGCTTTCAGTCATTTCTCAGTATTTATTTTTTTTTATTAATGTTCCGCTCTAATTTACCCCTAAGTGTTTTTCCCAGAGATTCAAGCATCTGAAGGGTTTACTAATTAGATACACAGTACAAATGATCTTTCACAAGCTCTGTATCTTATCCGGAGTAATTACATGGTGGTACATTATTCCTGGATAATTTCCAGAAAGAAGCTGCTTTGAGTCAAACTCATTTGTTCTCCGTCTTAGGGAAACGGATAGAAAAAAAATAACTTCACGATGTGCAGCAGAGTCAGAGACCTTTGCAGACGCACCTCATAGAGTCCCATTCATCCTCTGATAGAGTGAAGGAGTGCATTTCTCTGCCTGGTGATCATGTGTAGATCCCACAGTGAGTGACTGCCCCTGATATGATGTGTTCTCATTTGGTCAGAGAGTTGATGTAATTGTTAATGACAAGGCAGGATTCGTCAGGCTAGTTAATTTTGGGTGTACTCTTATCAAGTTGGGGGAAGGGAGGACCGCGGCGGCGGCAACCCGGTAAGCGTTTGGTGACCTGAAACCAGATGCAAAATTGTTTGACTGCTGTTTTTCTTTGAGCCCCACCCCAGCCCCACCCCCAGCCCCTCCAACCAACCTCAGCCATTGTCAAACTGAAGTGACACTGACAGTGATACCTCCCCGTCTCCGAGCTTTCAGCTGACAGGGCCCAAGACTGGCTTTTCCACTCCTATTCTGTCTGATATGTCTCTGGGTCATCTTGTAGTGGAAGGGGGGGGGCTCTGGTGCCCCCCATGTATATGGGGTAGTCTTGTTTTCTCCCCAGCTAAGAAAAAGGAGAAGGGCCTCCACCAGGCTGAGGGCCAAGGGCACACACTTGGTTGCCCATGACCTTGCCTGTCACAATCCCTCAGCACCAGCCCCTACTCCTAAACAACTGATCCCTCACCAAACCAATCACAGCCGCTGGTGCTCTCCGATCTTATACTGGGGGCCTCATCCCTCCCACTCACATTTTTTTAAACAATAAAACACCACTTATTGTCTACCAAAAGCCCAGCTTTCTCTTCATAGCCTCAGGACAAATTAATATTTCAGTCCCTTGTGGATCGGGGTGGTGGGGCAGAAATCAACTTCTCAGGATTTTTTTTACCCCACGTCGTTTGCTTATTTATTTCACTTCAGCTCTCCTGTCCTCACTCACAACATCCACTGAATACCTATTTGGACGACAATGTGTAAGAGGGGTCACGCTATTTGAACCAATTTGATTGGCTGTCAGCTCCAATCTGACCGACATAGCACCCCTGTTCCTTGTGGGTATGCTCAGTGGCATTGGCTGCCGCCCGTTGTCAGGCCAACGCAGAGCTCGGGAAGGTGGGAAGGGGGGGTGGGGGCTGGGGGAGGGTGGCCAATCTGAGACTGCCACTTTCCCTCAGCATTAGCATCTCACTTAATGACCAGTTAAGAGGCAGCCTGGCAAATGAGTTGTGACAAGTGCTGCAGAAAAAGGAGTCTTTTTCCCTCATATCTCCCGCCTCTCAATCACCATTTAAAAGGCTTGACGGCTTGACATAATTTCGCCATAATTATCACTCGGAGTATTCTTTTCAGGCCAGGACAGAAGTCAGATTGGATCTTGTCATGGGATAATAATGCTGACCAACAATAACTTTGTTGTCTCTTCTCTCCTCTGTGTCTCTGGCTTGATCCTCAGGGAACGGGCAGCCGACTTCAGCCAGCCAGTTTAATCTGGTTCAAGTGAAGCAGGAGCCGGTGGATGGCAGCTCTGGGGCCTCCCATGACTCTGCGCAGGAGCACAGTCTGGACCTGAGCAAGAAAGACCACAGGTACGCAGGAGAATGGTAATTCTTCTTGTAAAATCAACGAATAAATCACAAACAAAAAATGGTTTCTCTGATTTATGAGTTTTATGTTCTTGGCAGCCATTCATAATTATTTATCAAAAATATCTCATTTATAGACGTGCAAACAATTAGAAAATCGTCAACATATGTTTCTGTGTGAGAAGGGTGTTTACATAAACCGTCATATCCAATCTGCCCCTCCAACTCACTGTAGATCTTATTTTTTAAGAAGACAGCATTTTTCTTCTTCATTATACAGGCACACCTTGTGTGATAAATAGTAATATTTACTGTTCTCATGCAAATCTTGACTAAACATTGTTCATTTTCCTTGTTCCAGTAATGAATCAAACGGACACCCTGTACCAGGGAATACATCTCTTTTATCCTCGCTTATGAATAAGGTAAGATCCATCCATCAAACGCCTTTCATCCCAAGACAAATTAGCGGGACACGGTGGGGCCTGTTTGTTTTTTAATGTTTCACCGCTAATAAGATGAGTTTGTATCATTTAAATTTTCCAGCCATTTTTCATACAGTGTAATTTTCACTGCACCTCTCACAAATTAATATAATGAAGCAGTAGCTGGGTGCCATGCCAGATATATAGAGATGTTTGTTTTTTGATGAGCTGTTTTGAACTCGCCGTCCATTTTTTCTCCTCCTTTATACTTTTTCTTCCCCTGCCTCACTCTGCATTTATTTATAGAGTTTGTAAATTATTTGATTAAATAGTCAGGGGAAAAAAACAGGAAGGTGCTGCTTTCATTTTTTTTTTACCCATGTAAATGTAAGTGTATGGAAATTTAAATTGGACATTTTTTGTTCTGAAGCCAAAATGGACAGTGTTGTACTTCTGTATCTTATTTGACTGATACAAATGTGCCAGTTGGTTTCGATTGCATTGATGATGCAATGACAGATCGGGCACCATTATTTAATTCTTGCCAACTGGTCTGATACCCCCCCCCCCCCCCCCATTTCAGGCTTCCCTTCCACACACACACATACACATCGTCTCTCCCTGGGAGAGGTTCACTTTGGAGTCACTCTCAGATTCATTGAACCAGACACTGGAGGAGCTTGAAGACCTGTCGTCCAACAGCTCCTCACGTCATGTCAGATTTTCGGAGTTTGATTCAAGCCACCACATCAGATAAAGGGGTTAATAGTTGCTCCCAGAGGATGCTTGGCAAACACGCTTGGCCGGCGCTCAAGCATAAGCCTGGATGTTGTGTAAATCTGGCTGTGCTTTTTTTTTGCTCTGCCAAATCATTTTGTGTGTCAAGTCTCACATTCCAACTAATACAAGCAAGTTCCCCGGCTTACGTTTGTGTTGCTCACCCAGCGGCTGTGTCTCTATGTGCTGTGTGTCTCGTAGATGTCACAGGTGAACCCCGCCCTCTTCAACGCCATGAACCTGAAGACGGAGCTGGAGGCGGGGCAGGGCAGCGACACGTCAGAGGCTGCACAGTATCTGAACAGAGTGCTGAAGAGGCCCCTGCTAGAAAAACCATCTGAGATCTGGAGGACATACCTCCGCAGGTAAAAAAAAACACATAAGAAGTGCATATCATTCAATAGATGAAAAACAGAAAGATCTTTCTGTCAGTACTATTCCTCTCATACTGTGTCACTGGAAACCCCCAGAAATGTGAAGAAACGTAGGAATTAGAAATGACTTGCAGTATGATGGACGTCATTTAGACATTTAGTCAGATGAGGAGTTTAACCATTTCCCCTCTATAGCATGTGTTAGGGTTAGGCAGTGCATTTACACTCTTTATTATCTGTCTATCTCAAGGTTTGACACTGATGACTTCTGTGAGGCTCAGTGCGACTTCCTTCAGAAAGTGCACTTTCACTGCCTGGTTGAAGACTGTGGTGCACTCTTCAGCACTGTGGATGGGGCCATAAAACATGCTAAGTGAGTGTCACACTGGTTCATGATCAGAAAATATACCCTTACACTCTACATTTTCGTTTTCAGCTTTATTGATCGATATAAAAATGAGCTTCCCTCTCATTGTTCAGCTTCCACCTCCGCGCCACCTTGAAAGTGAAGTCGGAGCCTCAGTTCGGCGAGGGCAAGGACTCCAATGAGGGAGCCCCCCTGCATCCCGCAGCACCAGTGTCTATGGCCAACACTCCCTCTATTGATGTGGCTCACATCACCTCCTCCCACGGCTACAGCTCGCCTCCTCCCTCCCTGCTCGCATGGAAGCAGCTGACCGGCAGCATCCCCCAGATGTCGGCCTCGATGCCCAGCCTGCCATCCAACTCCCCTCTGGCCACCACCTCTTTAGAGAATGCTAAGCCACAAGTCAAACCAGGCTTCCTGCAGTTCCAGGAAAAGTAAGAGAAACATTGCTATTGCATGACAATGCAGACAAAAGTTACTTTTCCTCTTTTTGCCAAATTGTGATTAACCCCTATTTTCTATTTTCATTCACCCAGTGATCCATGTTTGGCCACTGACTGTAAGTACTCAAACAAGTTCCACTTCCACTGCTTGTTTGGCAATTGCAAGTACGTGTGCAAGACTTCTGGCAAGGCTGAGTCCCACTGTTTGGATCACATCAACCCCAACAACAACCTGCTCAACGTCCGCGACCAGTTCTCCTACTACTCCCTCCAGTGTCTCTGTCCCAACCAGGTGAGTGGGACTTGATAACTCACCCAGGAGCTGAATCACCTACTGTCATCTGCCAGAATGTCTAAGCATGAAGTATGCTATCTATTAGACCAGTATTTGAGGTTATTTGACTCAAGGCTTTCACAACCGCTGCTCGCCGTCTTCCATCTCTGCTGAAAAAGACAGTCGACTCACCCCAGTAATGCCTGTTTATATGTCAATGATGTCATTTTGACTGCCGCATTCTCCTCTCAGAAAAGGCCAATTTAGCTGATATTACCCAATAAATCATTGTCACTCGCACAGTAAACAAGGCTGTCTGGAATAGGGCAAAAATCAGGGGAATGCTTCGCAAATGAAACCTAAATGGCAGCCCCTGCCTGCTCTCATGAGCTCGTATTTGGAGAACGGTTTAAATGAATTCATTAATGTGTCGAAAATCACCCCTCTCACAAAAATTCCCCCCATCCCCCTCCTCCTCCTGCTTCCCCCTTTAGTCTCCGTCTCCTGAAGTGAGCTGATCTTATTTGGCCCCGTCCTTTGGGATCCGGGCCTCACAAGCAGATGGTGGTGCACAGACATGTTAGAAAGAAGTAAAAAAAACTAATGCTTAGAAATGAGGGATGTTCCAAATGACCAGAGGGAAAACTATGAGATCTAAATTATGTTTCTGGAAAATGTCTGTGCAGTATTCACTTTAACTTTTCCCACAAAGAAAGATCAAATAATGTCTATTCCTCTCTATGTTTGAGTCATGAAATTAGAAACTGTGTGTCTCCACCACAGCACTGCGAGTTCAGAATGAGGGGCCACTATCACTGTCTGCGGCCCGGTTGCTACTTTGTCACCAACATCACCACCAAGCTGCCGTGGCACATCAAGAAGCACGAGAAGGCTGAGCGCCGCGCCGCCAATGGTTTCAAGTATTTCACCAAGAGAGAGGAGTGTGGCAGGCTGGGTAAGAAATGAAATGAACCTTTTAATCCTTTGCCTGTTTTTCCCGCCCTCAATGTCAGCATGAACACTTTGGGAGGAGAGCTGTTTAGATTAAAAGTTTTGTGAGAAAGAGGTAGATTGATTTGTGGGGGAGGTTATTCTCTGAGTTTGCAAAGGGAGAAAAACATTGTTGGTAAACAGCGTTGTCTCGCATGAAACAGCCTCATAGACTTGGTTGTTGTCTTTTGCATATTCACAATGGCACCTCAAGTCCCAAAGGTAGTCCTGCCTGTACGATATAAGCAACAACGTCAGAGGGGGCAATCACAACCAGGTTGTTTTCTTCTTACTTTTGCCCCTGTCAGAAATGAGCAATTAGGTTTGTGTTTGTTAATTATCTGGCTTGTCTGGTTTAGCCTGTTTGTGTTCCGAAGCTGCGCCTCACAGCCGCTGCTGCCATCGCACAGAAAAGAATTAAAAGTGATCTGTTTTTTTCAGGCAGTTACACAAGCTTTTCAGAACGCAGACACAAAGCAAACAAAAACAGGCCCGAAACAGCTGTTTTTTGTCCCCAGCCTGATCTGCCAACTGCATTGTTTGGGCTGCGGGGGGGGGGGAACACAGAAAGGATTACCATCGCTAGCACTCCAGTCATAAAGAATTGATGGGTTGCCAGTATCCATGGCAGCAACATTAAACTGAACACAGCTGATGATGTTACCTGGTTTGTGTCTCACAAAAGGCCCTTCATGTCACGGGGGTTACTGTTATTTGCTCAACTTTGCGTGTTTGAAGCGTTTGTGTGCGAAAGCTATTTGATGACGCAGACATGTTGTGCTCTTAAACCGGGTGCCATGGTTACTGACATGCTAGCACCTGCCCAGCATGTTACTCTTTCAATTATTTCTGCCTGCTTTTATATAATGGTATTTGATTAACAGGCACAAAACAGAACATTCATTTAATTTGAAATCATAAAGCAATTAGAGCCAGAGCGGTCAAAACATGACAAAAAGAACAGAAGAATATGAAGCAGACGGCGGTGCGATGGAGAACAAAAGGAAAAATGACAATGGAGATACTTTGAAAAATGAATTTAATATGGTAATAATTGTATATTTACTTTGGTTTGCAGGGGTGTGTGCATTATTGGCCCACAGAAAATGAGAATTTATTTATGTAAATTCCTAATTGAATAAAGCATGTCAGTGTAATAAAAGAGCTCCACAGGTTTAGTGAACAGAAGCCTTGACTTGCTCAGTGTGACACCGGAGTGATCTAATATTCCTCCTACATGTGCACTCCGAAACACTTTGAAACCCGATCCCTCTTTTGTCGGAGCTACAGTATATCATGAAATTAAAAAAACCTAAAAATATTTCACTGCGTGTTTGATCTAATCACAACACCGTCACACTGATAATATTGCATTTACCGCCCGAGCTGCTCTCAGATGCCTCGCAATGAGCCAAAGACAAATTAATCTGCAAATGGAGACTTTACAACAGTTTTTTTTTTTTTGCAGGTTGTAAGTATAACCAAGTCAACAGTCATTTCCACTGCATCCGCGAGGGCTGTCAGTTCTCCTTCCTGCTCAAACACCAGATGACCTCACATGCACGCAAACACATGAGGCGGATGCTTGGGAAAAACTTTGACAGAGTCCCATCCCAGGTACGGACACACACACGCACATTGTGGCATAAAACACATGCCATTGTGAAAAGGGTAATTATCTGATAATATGGGCTGAACACCTCAGTGAACAAAAACAGGTGTTGAGAAGTTCATGGAAACGTATTCCAACGGAGCCAAGAACCTCACACTCCCTTTACCTGAGAAATGACAGTGAAATGCCCCCCCCTCCCCCAAACAAGTACACCTCAAAGGAAATCACTTTCTCACAGATTTAGGTTTATTCAATTATAGAATAATGATTCTCTTTCTTTAATTCAAGCTAATAAATATTGTATTATTGAATGGAATCCAACTGTCTTCGTGACAGCACCTAGTTTGGTGGGTTTCTTATTGTGCTTCTAGTTCAATGACTCAGATTCTGGGAAAAGAGCACTGCTCACTTCCGGCCACACCAGTAAGCGACAAATCACTCATGACATTACTAATGAAAAGTATCGCAGTGGAGTGTTTTCCATTGCCTAGCATAACCTATGCAGTTCGTCATGTTCCCTACCTAGATTTAGATATGTGGATCATCTAGTTCTGTTTGTTCTATTTTTTCCGTTTTGAAGTCATCATACAGATGACAGAAGCAAAGAGTTTCATTCTTTCGAAATACTTTTGACATTTTGAGGAATGCTTGGTTGTGAGCCAAGAGCCAACACCTGCAATAATCACATGTTGTGACCAGAGATATTCGTTTCTAATGTCCTTTTACAATGAAGATTATTTTGTTTTTCTAGGTGATGCCACTCGGTCATAGGGCTGACGACATGCAGCATGCATCTGGCATGGGATCCATGGCGACACAGCCCAGCTTCTCCTCTGGCGTCATGGATGAGACTGATGACTACATGGACTACATGGGAGGCGGAGGCAGCCCCCTGGGCCTCTCCTCCGAGTCCTCCAACCAGGACCGGAGCTGCACCAGCACGCCAGTAGGCAACGATGGCTCGCCAGCAGGTGAGACTATGTAAAAAAAACACCAGGCAGGCATTTAAGTATGTAGAGCTTTGGTTTAGTTTAAAAGTGAAAGGTGAAATATAAGAATATGTGTTCTTCTCTTATGCTCAGCATTTTACACAAAGCTTAACTCTACTCCGCACTCATTTACCCAGAAAACCAGCAACTTGTCATTTCATTCTTCACTCTGCTTTTTTATGATTTAATAGTTTGAGTTACATCAACAACATCAGTCATATTACACAAGGTTGATGACAATGCTGTATTGTTTCTGATTCCTCGACAAAGTCTTTTGCAGTTTGCGTGGTCATCCTCATAAAACATCCATTTTGTACATCAGTGGTTTGAGTTAGTGCTCTGTATGTAGCTTATTACATTTTCCTTTGGCCAGAGATCATCCCTGTGGCTTTATGTCTACTTTAGCACTTTTCCAGGGTTGAATTGTGGGAGAAAGGAAAGGAGAAACAGCTTCTTTTTCTTCAAATTTACTGAAAAATGGTTTTTCCTCTGCTTTTTTTCTGGGTCTGAGGCTGCCTTTGATTTTTCGTATTCCTCCACGTGTTGACAGTATTATCCATGACACTCATCATTGTTGATTTGGCTGGTGTTTGGGTTACTTGTCTTGAATGGGCCTCATTTTGTATCATTCTCTTATCTCTTATCTTTCCCTTTTTACCTCCCATCCCTCTGTGTGTGCGTGTGTGTGCGACCTGGCCCTTGTTTTTGTGTATCTGTCTGGGCGTGTGTGTGTGTTTTCCCCCCTCTTGTCTGTCCTTCACTCCCTGGTCAACCTGTCTCTCCAGGACAAGGCTGGCCTACCACCTCTTCTGCTCCCACCACCCCTGCTGACACTAGCGCTACCCAAAATGCAACTCCTTCTTCCCCTCCTCTACCACCTCCTCCCTCCGCCCCTCAGCCTGGTCTACAGTCCCAGGTCCCAACCCTCTCTCCTGCTCTCCTCAGACATCCTCTCCCCTCACTCCCATACCTCCTCTCTCCATCCTGTCTGTCATACTCTCTGCTCAGCGCCTCTCTGGGAGCCACTCGGAGTGTTGTCATGCCAACCAACACACCAGCTTTCAGCCCCATCATTGCCACTCCGTCTCCGGTTAAAAATGACGTCCCTATAGTGCAGGATGCTGCAGGTACTTATCCCCGGCGCAAACCGACACTGCAGCTGTCTCTGAATTGAGTCCTGTGCAGCATTTAACTGTGTGACCCAACTTGTCTTTGAAGTAAAAGGGGCTTTCCAGCATGCAAACAGACCGTTTATGTAAAAATGATGAAAGGTGCATGTTTACTGAGTTGGTACAATAACAGAACAAGTGTGTATAATTACTTTACTTACACCTCTGTCTGCTCTCACTCTTAGTGTTACTAGGATTTAGAGACAGAGCAGTAAATTTGGCACACATATTATGAAGCCTGGGCCTTGTTTAGCTTCCATTAACAAGGCTGCATCAGCAGCATTTTAATCACGCTTTAAGTTTTATCGAGGCCCACTGCTTCCTGTCTTGCAGAACAGGGATCACATCATTAGCAGTGACCGCAGGGTGTTGCGAGAGGTGGGTGCCCCTCATAAAACAACATGGAGATAAGAGGGTCGGTTAAGACCCACAGCTCCGCCTCTGTTTGGAGGCTGGAGACACCCTGTAAAAGTGTCATGTTCCAAAGTCAATCTATCATTTTACCTCTCCTTTAATCATTCTGGGAATTAGGGATAAAAAAAAAATTGTTGCTCTCTGTGCTTACTCAGCTGTGAACCACTTCTGGCTGAGTAAGGTCGCATATTAGAAGAGGGTCTCACAGTGTAATTTACTTGTAGTAACTTTACTCTGTGAAGTGATTGTTCTTTAATGTGCTCACCTCATTTTTTTTTTTTCAGGCAATACCATCTCCATTCCCACGGCCACCGGTGCAAAAAAGCGCTTCTGGATCATCGAGGACATGTCACCATTCGGCAAGCGCCGCAAGACCGCATCGTCACGCAAGATGCTGGATGAGGGGATGATGCTGGAGGGCTTCCGGCGCTATGACCTCTACGAGAACTGCAAGGACTCAAGTTGCCAGTTTTCTCTGAAGGTGACCCACTACCACTGCACACGTGAGAACTGTGGCTACAAGTTCTGCGGCCGCACCCACATGTACAAGCATGCACAGCACCACGACCGCGTGGACAACCTGGTCCTAGACGACTTCAAGCGCTTCAAATCCTCGCTAAGCTGCAACTTCCCCGACTGCCAGTTTTCAGGCAACAGTACCCACTTCCACTGCCTGCGCTGTGGCTTCCGCTGCACCGACAGCACCAAGGTGACCGCTCACCGCAAGCACCATGGCAAGCAAGATGTGATCAGCGCCGCTGGCTTCTGCCAGTTCAGCTCTAGCGTTGATTGCGAGGTTCCCGACTGCAAATATAAGCTCAAGTGCTCACACTTCCACTGCACCTTCCCCGAGTGCAAGCACACAGTGGTGGGCATGTCCCAGATGGACTCCCACAAGAGAAAGCATGAGAAGCAGGAGCGGGGTGAGCTGCCGTCTGTGTCACCCAAACAGGAAAGTGCTCACCACCTGGGAGGAGGTATGTTGGCGGTCCCTCCAACCTCCATGGCCCTTTCTACTTCCTCACCTGGTGGTCTCCATGGCTTGTCCCACAACATGAACAGCAACGCTCCCTCCATGCTATACACAATGGGCGAGATGGGGTCCGACTATAACCACCCGTACCCACCATCCACCATTAGCCTGGACGGCTCGCTCAACCTGGGCACCGACACCAGCAGCTCCCTGTTCTTCCTGAAGAACGCCATAGGTCTGGGTCTCAGCGACTCACTGGACCTCAGCAAGAAAATTCACCATGATGCAGTTCGATCTAGCCACAACCCCACCCCCCCTCACGGACTGCCAGCTGCTCAGGACGACACCACGGGAACGTCTGGAGAGGCCGAAGACGACGTGTCGCCAGAGGAGGAGGCACATGCGGAGGAAGATGAAGAAGAAGAGGATGAGGAGGAGGAAGAGGCAGAGGAGGATCTCAACACTGATTCGAATGATGATTCGATGCCAGAGCCCGATGGTGAGAAGGACAATGATGAGAGTTTTGATGCTTCCATTAACCACACTGATACTTCCCAACTGGAAAAGCAAGACGCTGTCCCATGAAAAAATAAACTAACACAGACTGCAGAAACTGAAAGAAAACCCTGTGTACTATGAACAAACAAAAATGAAAGTGGCCTCATTTATCATGTTTAGAGACTTCAGATGACAACAAAAAACAACAGCGCAGCGTGAAAATGACGGCCCAAAATGATTTATTATGATGTTTACAAGATGACCAACATTATTAATTCAATTATGCATTAAAAAATATGAACGGAGACACACAGAATTAGGCCCTGTTTTACACTCGGGGCAGCAATGTAAAGCATTTTACTACACATCAGTCTTTTTGTGTGCGTGCATGTTTGACTTTAATTTATTTTTTATTTTTTTCACTTTTTGTGTGTGAAAAAAAACATTAGAAAAACAAAAACAAATCTCTCTATATAACTATATATGTAAGTGTGTGTGTGTGTGTGTGTGTGTGTGAAAGATATATACAAAAGGAAATTGCTGGCACAGGCGATATGAGACCGCAGGGCCGTGGATACATAGAAAAAGGGACATGAATCACTAAGGGGAAACAGGATTCATTGCAAACATTTGATCTTTTTTTCTGTATTGATATTATATTATTATTAATTATTATCGTTGTTAGAGACAGAGAGACAGTGGGTGACGCTCTGCTTGTTCCCGTCTCTCTCAGGTGATTTTCTTTGTTCTCAATGACATGTGGAATCGACCAGTAACTGTTCTCAGCTGCAGTCGGGGGCGTCTGGCGAGACGCCAGGTCTCAACAGTTCTCTCTCGACATTCTGCTAGAAATGTTCCGCTAGCACCAAAATCCAAGCTCAGCCCTCGTACGGTTTTCAACCCCCCCTGTGGAGGAATCAAGTTTGTGTGGATAGTGCACTTTTCTATGAGCTGACCACGACGACACCGATGACGATGCTAGACGACTCATAAGCATATTTAAAAAGAAAAAATATTTTTGTTACCATTTTGCATCTTTGCATTACAGTGTCGTTTTTGTTGTGTTGTTAGTCAGAAGCATATCGATCTGTTAGCAGGCGAGGTCGTGATTAACGGCTGGCAAGTCGGGCGGGAGGGTGGGGGGTGTGGGGGGGTGAGACTGACCAGAGGAAACAATGAGTCACTCAGATGCAGCGAGGGGAGGGGGTGTGACAGAGGAAGCGTCAGGAAGTGTGTTTCATGTTGAAAATGTACAGACCGAAAAATGTCTCAACGGCATTTTTTTTTTCCATTCACTATGGCTGTGGTTGAGCTCCTGTTGTAACGGTTTTTATTTAATATTTATGTGACCTTCCAATGAGAAATTTTTAGGGTGTTATTGCACTTTTTAGGTTCATTTTTACCGTCTGAAAAAAAATGATATATTATCTTTTAACAGGGAATTTGCTTTAAAGATGTTGTTTTAGTTCACTTTTTTGCTTTAATGCACAAATAGATGTTAGTGTGACAAAGAACTGTTGTTCTGTGATTATTTAAAGACTGGGTTTTATTTTGCATCTGTGATTGGACAGTTTGACGAAAAAGAAAAAAAAGGAGATGGGTACACCAGAGCAACGGTGTCCTGAGGAGAAACACTAATACGGACTGTGATTTAAATTAATTCTTCAGAAGTTCATGGCAATGGTCTCTAACTGTAGTACTAAATTATAAATCTGTCAAAGCCACCCTCTGGTTTACATTGAGCAAATATGTACGGCCGAGGAGTGGACACACTGATCATGAGTTATCACGTGAGCTTGGCATTGGAAATAAATGATCATTATTTAGGGATTAATAATGTGTGTAGATTATAATCCTCCTGATATTGTTTTGGGACAAAAAAAAGGTTGTACAGTATTTTCCTCTGTAAAAAAATAACTATATATGAACAAAATGCTCTTTGATGAATAGATTCATTTAAAAAGAAAAACGTAAAAAGGAGAAGTGAATAATAAAAAGTAAAAAATTCAAATAGCCTCATTTTAGTTTGCTTGTGTGCGTGACCTTTTTTAAATACCCCAGATTTTTTGGCAAAAAAGGTTGTTGATACTATAACATTGGCAGATTCCGTTATGATATTTGCAGTATATATTTCCTTTTTTTCTAAACTGTCAGAAGCTCAAACTAAAATACACTGATTTGAATTCATTCATCCATGTTTCTGTTTTATTTAATGACTTGTTTTATTCACTGTCATTTTTTCTGTGTGAGTGTTTTTTTGTTTTATCGTCATTAATTGAAACTCTTTATATTTACTTTGCTGTGGGCATGCCTCGTTCACAGACTCAAACTGTCTCCCAGGACTCTGTTGCAAAGCAGAGGCGTCACAACATTTGTTTGGTTTTCTCATCAGATAACTGTAGAGGCTGGGGGACGTCGTGCACTTGAATTTAGTTCATGTATGTGTGTGATCTGTGTGTATGAGTGTGTGGGACTGTGTAAAATAGCAGGATTTGTAAAAAGCTGAAAATAAAGAAACTATGATAAATATAATAATACACATGTAGTGATTGATAGTGCTTCAGTCTGAGGATGTTTTGGGTCACGTGTGGAGGGAAGAGGCGCTGCTGAACGACAGCAGAGCAAAAGGTCACGGCGGCAATCTCTGTCTCTTTTTCTTTCTGTAGGTGACACTACTGAAGTGTGTGTGTTAGTGTGTGAGAGAGAGACAGATAGGCTGTGACCGTAAGAACACAGACCTGTGGCTCCGTCCCAGCTGCTCACAGCTCCGATTCATATTTCATGACCTTGTTCGTCTCTTCCCTGCTTTGTTCTGCTATAAATTCAACTGGGACAGTTTTTTTGGCCACAGAATTTGAAGATAACAAACAAACAAAGAAAAAAAACATACATCTGCATCCATGCAGGTAGAGGAATCAACAATATTTGTTGTTGGGGTCGCCTGTTGTTCATGCTTGACTTTCTGGTGCAAGAACCAGATCGGATCTGAGGACCGTTAGGGAGATTTAGAGGCCTGCTACTGCTAACAAGATGGCTCTCTGTGTCTGGTTTAGTGTTAACAGGGCACATTGACACATGCATTTATCTTTTTTGTTTTTTTAAATTTGATTTCTTTTCTTTTTCTTTGCCTTGAGCCATGTGCGGGGGTTCTCCTCCCACTCCCTGATGTCACCCAGTGGCCAACGTGCCGGTTCTGTCTGTCCCCTCGTCTACAGCTGTTCCTGTCCTTTCTCCTTCTCTTCCTTGTGATGTTTTTTAATAAAAAAAAAAAAAAACGAGAAAAAAAATCACGAGTAAAGGCATCACCATCTGTCAGCCAGCTGGCATCCTGTATATAATCTACCAGAAAAAAAAGAGAATAAACATGAAAATTATATTACACAAAAACCAGACGGAAATGACCTCCAAATCCTGCATAGGCTGCTGCTGAAACGACAGATCATTTGACTGTTTTAATTAACAGAGTAAAAAGGATGGTATAAAGAAGTGCTGGGGAAATAAACTGAGATGTATTTCCACTGCTGGAAAAATGTAACATGAAAGCCGCCTGCTTACTGCAGCATAGTGGATCAACAGAGCAACATTTTAGACTTTGTAAAATATATTGCACTTTTGGACTAAAAGCCATCTCCCGTTAGCATTCAATTTGGCTCGATTCATGAGACATTTTATATGAGAAGTAGACAATGAAGCAATTTTTTAAAAAGTCTACTTGAATTTGTTGCCCTCAGCGCTACTATTCATTCTAGTCCTATTGCTTATTTCCACTTGGATACAGTACTGTTCATCTTCATTGTGCTATATTTATGTTTTTCCTCTGTTTCTGCATGTCTTATGCAAAGATTGAGCTTTTCACTCAGTGAAATAAAAACATACTGAACGACTTTAGGCCTGTTCTCAGTGTCAATGTGTCTTTGAGTGTCAAAAGACGAGCACAAAACGTCTTTCAGCAGATGCACGCTTTCTACCTTTTCACGAAACATCTCAGAGTGCTGGTGTATATATTGCCATTGCCAACAATGTGTGTAGAGGGGGTGCATACATGCCGGCCATCGCTGACACGCATGATGTGCCAGGAACAGGTTGAGTGAGAGTGTCTGCAGCGTGGAGAGGCAACAGGCGCGGCTGGGAACACATACGACAGGTGTGCACTGCATATGTGGTCACATGATGCCTATAAGGCAGATTAGGGCCCAAACAGATGAAGCGCTGCTTAATGGCAGCTTTTATTAAGTTCACAAAGCGTGGAGGGAGGGGGGTGAACGGAGGAAAAGCAGGTGGCTGGGCCTGTGCGCTCCTAGATGAAGACAGATATTGTACAGTGGAGTCTGAGGAGGGTAGCCACTGTGGAAGGATTTATGGAGATTTGCCCGCCCTGGTCTCAGCCACCGCCTGCCTGTTCCCGAACTCGCAGTAATAGCCAGAGAGGGAGAGCTGGAAAAGCTCAGAGAGAAAATGTGCCAGCAAGTGTTATCATAAAAGATGAGATGAAACTATAATAATACCTGTGAGGACAGTCAGTTACTGCTACAACAAAAAAAGTTTTAAAAAAACAGAGGCAGAGAAATAAAAACAAATTGAATGTCAGAGAAGTCAGAAATGAAATGCTGGAACATTTTAGTACAAGTGACAAAAAAGCCGAGATCTCAGCTTTAGGACTATGAGCCAAAAATCAGTGTGCCAAGATCATAAACATGTATTTCAAAATAAATGCACATCTTACATTATCAGTGTGCATGTAATAACTGACAAATGAGGAATATCAGTTGTGTGAAGACAAATATGAGATGTTTAAACATGCCAAACTTTATATATCTACAATGTATTTAAAAGAAGTTTTGAGACATGAGGATGTGCAATTTAAAGATACATTATACATAAAGGTGCTGATGCATGACAACATTCAGGTGCTGATGCGTGACAATGACAATAAATTTGCACAGATTTGTATAAACATGTCCTCTCGTACACTTTACATTTCTATTTATAATGAGCCACAAATGTGGGTGGAACAAAGTCATCAGAGAAAGGTGGTTACGTGTACAACTACAGTGTGTCTGTCCTCATTGTCACTACATTCTGAACATATTTCATGACACAGTTGTCGTGCCAACTAAAACACTGCTCCACATCAGCAAGTCAATCAGCACAAAGCTGATTGGCTAAGTCTGTATGGACTTTACGTACTTTACAGCGGGGGGGAGGGGACTCCAGCGCTCTGTGTCAGGGCCTGACGTCACTTCAGTCCACTGTCAGTAAAAACGGCTTCCAGGCAGATATCTCTGAAACAGGCTTCACCCCTTGGTCTGTCTACTCCCTCAGTCTTACCGATTCTTCTCTGCACACAACTCTAGGCTCTTTTGATACATTAAAGGTTCAGTGTGTAGGATTTAGTGACATCTAACTGTGAAGTTGCAGATCACCAACCACCTGAACATCACCCTCCCCTTCTACACAGCCAGAGTTTGGTTCGTACATTCTGGGCTCCTGTAAAAAGACGGCAGAGGAACATGGTCGAGGAGCCACTCCTGATTGGGATGACAAAAAGACTTTAAAGTTGAAAAACCCACAAGAATTCTTATTTTCAAGTGATTATACACTTGTGAAAAGCTATATACATAAATACATATTGGTACATTTATGTCACTAGATTGCATAAATCCTACATAAGGTCCTTAAAATGGTTATTGAAGTAGAAATCATTCCACTAATATAACAATGAGTAGAGTCAGTTATATTAAAAATACTATACGAACAACATTTGTTACAATAACAATGGGTCCTGTAATAACGTAATGTATCTGAAAGCAGTCTGCTTTAGAATGATCACCTTACCAGCTGGTTTTTCAGCTGCAATTGAACTGATTTAGTTTAGTCCCACAGCTCTACAACGTTATGTTTGCCCACAATAAGCAGTTGTTCTCAGAAACTACAGAAGCTGGTGAACAAAGTGGCGCATTTAGCAGCTAGATAGAAATATATTTTCTATTGTTGTTGGCAGAGACCAAAACAAAACTTTAAGGAAAGTGATTTATCGGTAAACACAAACACGGCTCATTTTTATCGCTAGTGCGACTCAATAAATGTTGGACTTGTAATTTTCCAACTATTATATCAAAAGATGA